TAGAATGATAGACAATTTTGAGCTGCCATGTAGCTGCTGAGAATCAAACCTATGAAAGTCTTTAGTAACCCTCCAGTGACAATGTAGCATGAGCTTTTCTCAGAGTGAGCTTCTTCTTCTTCTTTTTTTTTTTTTTTTTTTTTTTTTTTGTTTGTTATTTGTTGTTGGTGGTGGTGGTTTTTCGAGTTTATATTTCTATGTGTAGCTTCGGAGCCTGTCCTGGAACTCACTCTGTAGACCAGGCTGGCCTGGAACAAACTCACAGAGGTCGGCCTGCTTCTGCCTCCCGAGTGCTGGGACCAAAGGCATGAACCACCAACACCCGGCTTCCGGGTGAGTTTTTAAGCACTGAAACCATGTCTTGGACTGACATATTTTAGTTAACAAGAACAGTTCACCAGAAGCAGAACTCCAGAAGCCAAAAAGCAAGGTTAGTAATACATTTGCCAACTTTCCCAGGACCGTGGACTTCGGTGGATTTTAGAGTTTTGTTCTCATTTTTGCAGGTTGCTGCCTATGTGCTGGAGTTCTAAAGTCATCATGGCATGGGTTGTGCTAAGGCTTGGGGGCCCGTCACAGCTTACTTCTGCCTGTGGGGTGATAGTCAACATATACACCAAAGTCAGGTGCAATCCTGTGGCCCCTGCACTCTGTGGTCTGAGGCAGGAAGATTCTTGGATTTAAGGACAGACTAAGCTATATAGTCACTTCCAGGCCAGCTGGGGCTATAAGAAACCGTCTCTGAAAAGCACAAAAAGTGCCAGGGGCGGGGCGGGGCAGGGTGGGGCGGGGTGGGGGCATTGGTGGTGCACTGCTCTGATCCTAGCACTCTGGACTCAGAGGCAGGAGTAAGGAGTTAGGTTTTCCCCTGCCAGCCTGGACCCACCACGGTGGCAGCCCCAAATAACACACACAGAGACTCTGTATTTGATATAATGCTGTTGGCCAGTTACTAGTTTCTTATCGGATAGCTCTGTCTTAATTATTAACCCATTTCTATTAATCTAAGTGTTTCCACGTGGTCTCATCTTACCGGAGAAGAGCCAGCTGGCATCTGCTCTCCCCAGTCTCTCCATGCTGACTCCTCCTTACTACTTCCTCGAATCCTCCTTGTCTCCTAGTCCCGCCTATCTTGCTTTCCTATTGGCCAACAGCGCTTCATTCCTTAACCAGTATTCTGTAAACATATTTACAGAATGACATCTCCCATCATCATCTCCTCTTTTCAAGGCCAGCCTGGTTTATGGAGTGAGTTCTGGGACAGCCAGTGCTACACAGATGGTGTAATTCGGTTGGTGGGGCTCTTCCTACTGGTAGGAAAGCCCTGGGTTTATAACCCAGCACCAAGTAAACTAAGCATGGGGGAGGGCGGTGACACCCACACCTGAAGAAGAAGGCTGAAACATCAGGAATTCACAGAGACCAGCCTGGGATACGTGAGATCTTGTCCCGACTTCGTCTCCTCCCACCCCCGACCCAAGATGATGGCAAAAGGCCTCAGTGTTCAGGCCGCTTTTTCTTCCAACAAGAAGATGAGCCACAAGCCTCACCCCCGGAGCCTGTTCTCTGACCACAAGCTACACCCTTATCCTGGAATCTACTTCAACAACATTCTGGAAGTGACTTTGTGGGTTTTTTTTTTTGTGTGTGTGTGTCTTCTTCTTCTTCTTCTTCTTCTTCTTCTTCTTCTTCTTCTTCTTCTTCTTCTTCTCCTTCTTCTTCCTTAAATGTATTCTTACTAGTTGCTGGAAACCCTCATACAATGGTTTCTTTACATTATTTATATTTTATTTGAATTGTATATGTGTTTTGCCTACATGTTTATATGTACGCCGTATGCATGCCTGATGCCTGTGGAGACCAGAAGAGGGTGTTGTATCCCCTGGAACTAGAGTTATAGAGCATTGTGAGTTGCCACGGTGTGGATTCTGGGACTTGAACCTCGGCCCTCTGATCCTTAGGGGGTTCTTTTTGTTTGTTCTTCCCTTTATGTTTATTGGTATTTTTCCTGCTACAGACAAGTATGAGGGGTCACATGGGTGCTGGGAATTGAACCTGGGTCCTCTGGAAGAGCAGCCAGTGCTTTTAACCACTGAGCCATCTCCATCCCCTTCCTTTCTTTTTAAAAGCACTTTTTTATTACATTCATTTATTTATTTAGGTGGGGAGGGGTATGTCTGTGGAAGTCACAGGACAGTTTTCAGGAGTGGGCTCTCTCCTCCCAGGGACCCCACTGTGGTCCTTAGGCTTGGAAGCAAGCACCTCTACCTGTGGAACCATTTTTCCCACCCTGGTTTCTAATTACATTCTTTTCCTTGTGTAAAAGTCTTCCCCAATAGTTTATCGGAGAAGCTGTCTTTTCTCCAATGTAAGCTTGAGACACTTTTGTCAAAAATGAGATGACCAGGGACGGTTAGCCGCCTTGATCTTATGAGCCACCTCTCCGGTCCTCTCCACCATGTTTATTAAGACAGGGTTTCTCACTTGAGCCCAGAGCATATGGATTCGAAGACTCTCGCTACAAAGTTTGCTTGAAAATCCCAGCTCCACTTCCTGAGCCCTGGGCTTTGCTCAGAATTTATACAGGTTCTGTCTGTAGTTTCCATTCTCTTTTGTTTGATTTTGCTTTTCTGAGACAGGGTTTCTCTGTGTTGCTTTGGAGGCTGTCCTGGAACTCGCTCTGTAGACCAATCTGGCCTCGAACTCACAGAGATCCACCTGCCTCTGCCTCCCCAGTGCTGGGCCTAAAGGCGTGGGCCACCACCGCCTGGCGACCATGGCAATTCTTATAAAGGAAAACATTTCATTGGGTCTGGCTTACAGTTCCAGAGGTTTAGTCCATTATCATCATGGGAGAACATGGCGGTGTGCAGGCAGACATGGTGCTGGAGAAGGAGCCAAGAGCTCTACATCAGGATCTGCAGGCAGCAGAATGAGAAACGTGTGTGTGTGTGTGTGTGTGTGTGTGTGTGTGTGTGTGTGTGTGTGTGTGTGTTGGGGCGGGGAAGTAGTTTGAGTATACATGAGACTCAGAGCCCGCCCCCTCACAGGAATACACTTTCTCCAAGAAGGCCACACCTACCTACCGGAGCAAGACCACGCCTCCTAATAGTGCCTAACCAGTCTCCATGGACCAAGCATCCAAACACATGAGTCTTTGGGGGGTAATTCCCATTCAAACCACCACAGCTGCCATTGCCGTGGTGATATATCACTAGTCCTGGCTCTGGAAGTCCATTTCTCCTAAGCTGATAACCAAAGAAGCTACAGCAGGGTCATCCTGTTAGGGGCTGCTACAGTGCAGTACCCAGGCCTGATTCCCCCTCTACGGGCCCTAGATTTGGTCAATGTGGTGGCACCAAAGATGATGTAGAAAGTGTCTTGGAACCCAAGAGGGGTAAGGGTGGGTAGCACGGGCCTCAGAAACCTGGAAGTGTACCAATGTGTGCTGTTTGTTTTGTAGACAGAACTGTGAAGCTGAGAGATGGTGAAACACCTCCCCAAGGCCACAGAACAGTGCAAAGCCTTCGGCCTCACTAAAAACAAAATGTTCAGGTTGGGCATAATGGCGCACACCTTCAATCCCAGCACTCTGGAGCAGAGGCAGGGGGATCTCTGTAAGTTCAAGGCCAGCCTGGTGTACAGAGTGAGTTCCAGGACAGTCAGAGCTGTCTATTGTCTCAAAAAAAGAAGTTAGCGTATTTTAACTACTTTATTCTGTGTGTGTGTGTGTGTGTGTGTGTGTGTGTGTGTGTGTGTGCATGTATGATGAGGCACAGGCCCCCGCATGCATGCACGTGGAGGTCAGAGGACACCCTGCATGAAGGAGTCTGTGTTATTCTTCTCATGGACCCTGGAGGCAGACGCCTTTTACCCAGCCTCACTTGAGTCCGTTGGTCCTTCAGTTCTAAATGCATTGTCCTAACCCTTCGGAACAGACAACTCAGGGAAAACAAAAACAAAGGCTGCTTGCTCCGTGCATGGAGCTTATTTGTTTGGACGTAATTATGATACGCTGCTAATTATATTAGCAGGACTGAAGGGGGGGGAGCGATCCTAATTACAGGGGTTTCCCCAGGGGAGCGCCCCATGAGTCAGGCAGAGCTCGACTCCAAAGTCCCAACTTCTCAGCATCCCCTCTTTACCGCCCTGTTCATACGCGGGACAAGAAAACTTCACAGAGGTCTTGTAGGTGCAATTTCAAATTTCACAGAGTTCTTGTAGGTGCAATTTCCAAAACGATAAGGTACGTTGTGGGAGGGGGGGGAGAGAGAGAGAGAAGTCTTTCTTGCCAAGCAGGGCTGGCAATGAAGTTCAGTTGCCGGGGCAACCAGCGGTCTCGCGGGGCCGAGGGCAGTCAGCGGTGGCGCGCGCGCACTCACCCTCTTTCCTTCCTGCTTCGCTCTGAGGTTTTTTTTTTTTTTTTTTTTTTGCCCTCCTGAAGCTGAAAGAAAGGGAAATGGAGCTCGGTGACGGACGGACGTCTTAGCTAATGGAAGCATGGGCCTGAGAAAGGCCAACCAATGGCACGCGAAGTTTGGAGCCGGCAGAGCCCGCCCTCCTTTCCACTTGGACCTGAATAACCTGACCCAGACGGAGCTTGTCTCGGAGCGACGGCGCTTTGAGCCAATGACAGCATTGATTTGGGGCGGTGCGGGAGGAGGGGGCGGGCCACGTCTCTACGGCAACGGCTGAAGGACAGGGGCGCGAGCCACTAGTTGCAGCCCGCTGGGTTTATTGACAGCGTGGGCGTGGCGGGGTTTTGTCGGGGCACCGACTGGGGGCCCGGAGAGGCGGGCGGGGAGGGACCAAAAAAAAAAAAAAAAGGGGAGCAATGAGATCCGGCCAATAAGAGCGTCGCGGGTTTCGTAGCAACGGGGGAGTGACGGCGAGCTGGGCCAATAGGAGTTCGCGTCGGCCGTCGGGGCGGCGCGGCGGCAGTGGTGTCTGCCGAGAGCCGGAGGAGGCGGTGGGAGGTGGAGGAGGTGGAGGTGGTGGTGGTGGCGGCAGCAGCGCGGGCGCCTGAGGAGAAGGAGGAGGAGGAGAAGCGGGTGAGGGGCGGCGCGGGGCCCGACCTCTGAGCCCCCTCTCGGCCCCCGCCCCGCGCCGCCCGGACTCCCAGTCGCCCCCTGACCCGGCTGTCCCCGGGCCCGTCCTCGAGCCCGGGCGCCCAAGTCTCCGGGCCCGCGCGGGTCCTCGCGCGCTCCTCCGCCGGGGGCTCGTCCGTGCAGACTCCTCTCTCGCTCCCCAGGTCTTCCCTTGCACCTCTGCACGGCGCGGGCGAGCTTGTCCCCGACACCCTTCGCCGGCATTGTAACCTCCCTCTCCTGTCACTCTCAGGCCACTTCCTGACTCCTGGCTCACTGCTCCCCCCACACCCTCCCACAACCTCCCCACGCTTGGCTCAGTCCCCTCCTCGAGCCCCTGGGGTCTCCCGCGTCCCCGTCACTTCAGATCCCCCAGGACTTCCCCCCCACCTACTTGGAACCGCTAGACCCTCCTTCCTCGGACCCGGGCCCCGTGCCTACCTACCTACCCTTCGGGTCTCCTGGGCTCCTCCCTTGCACCCGCAGATGCCGCCCCACTCCACCCCCCTCCCCGGTCGTCCTTTTGACTTACCTCCATGTTTGTAGTCTCTCTCCCTTAACCCCATAGTCCCCCAGTAACCTGGCTTTATTTGTCTTCCCTCATAAGCTCCTCCCCAGCTGCCAGGCTTTTCCTTAGCTCCCTCTTCCTTTAACCCAGACTTATTGTTTGTTTGTTTGTTTTGTCCAGATCTTTCTCCCACTTCTTACAGCTTCCCCTCGTGCCTCAGCCACCCTCCTGCCTTTCTTGTTCTTACCTAGCGCTTTCCCAAGGCGCACCTCGGTCCACACATCATGATGAGGGTACTGGGTATAACCTGTCCCTCGGTCTCATTTGGTTTTCCTGAATCTAATCCCCCCCCGCCCGCCCCCTTGCCTCCTTACCTTTTGTTTTGACTTGTTCCTTCTTCCTGGTTTTTGTCCCCTTGCGAGACACCCCCTTTGCTAGAATTCTCAGTCTGGGAGCAGGTACTGGATTCTTCCTGCCCTCCAGGGTGCCTGGGTCCCACCCTTTCGGCCACTGCCAGAGAAGGGTGTCCTTGGAGGGAGGTGGTAAAGACTGAGACCCAGCCCAGCAAGGGTCACCAAAAAGCAGGCTAGAAGCTCAGAAACATTGAGTTCATTTCTCACCTGTCCCTTGGTGAGGCCCAGCTGTGCCGACTCCCCTCCTGCAATGCTAAGCCTTTGGAGCTACCTCAGGTTGCCAATTAATCTGCCTTCCCCTGGGTGCACGGGGGACTTGTCTCCTCCAAGAGCACTTGGTCTGTGTGTGCTGACATCCACGAAAGTGTACATGTCCTGGGGGGAGGGTTGTGTGTGGCTGGGGGACCTGCGGGAGGAGACAGGGGGAGCTTATTGCACAAGAGACAGTGTTTCTCACGGAGGGGGGGGGTGGTGTCACTCCTGCACAGAGCCCTGTGTAGTCACTGTTGCTCACCCTCACCCCCACCCTGTGCTCTCCTACAGATAAGCAGGTTGTGGGGCCCGCAGACACCTCACACAGCTGAGTGGCACAGAGCACGTTCCCTGTGCCCTGTTCTGTGCCAGAAGCAGCATGGTCTTCAGAGCACCATGGGGCCTGACAGAGTGACAGCCCGAGAACTGTGTGAGAACGATGACCTGGCTACCAGCCTTGTTCTTGATCCCTACCTCGGCTTCCGAACCCATAAGATGAATGTCAGGTGAGGGGGTTTGGTTAATGGCAGGCCTGGCTCCTTACTCTTGTGTATCTTTACTCTCAGCCTGGCCTCCCTGAAGCTTCAGGTGGGGTCCAGGGTCCTGGGAGTCCCCTGGAACTGAGGCGCACTCTTCTTCCCAGCCCCGTGCCCACCCTCCGACGGCAGCACCACCTCCGCTCAGCACTGGAAGCTTTCCTAAGACAGCGGGACCTGGAGGCCACGTACAGGGCCCTGACGCTGGGAGGCTGGATGTCCCACTTCTTCCAGAACCGGGCCCCTCGGCAGGAGGCTGCCTTCAAGACCCATGTGAGGGAGCCCATGCCTTGCTCTGGCCTGCACTGTGCTCTCCCCATTTAGCCGGCAGACTCTGGAGCTCTTAGGAGAGCAGCCCCCAGGTCCCAGGCTACCTTGCCCCTGGAGACACCTGCAAGGCTCAGAATCCTAGAAGAGAAGAATTAGGGGCTGGTGAGCTTCGAGAGGAGTCCAGCCTCCTCTTCCTTTGACAGACGAGGACACCTAGGCCCAGGGAGGACCCAGGCCACACAGTCAATGACAAAGTAGACCCGGTCCAAGAGAAAGGGACCCCTGCGGTTGGCCCTACTCAACTTTCCTTCCCTCTCCCCGCTCTCCTCCCAGATCTTCTGCTACCTCCGCTCCTTCTTGCCCGAGAGTGGCTTCATCATTCTGCCCTGCACCCGCTACTCTATGGAGACCAATGGGGCCAAGATTGTGTCTACCCGTGCTTGGTAAGGGGACCGCTGGGAGCAGAGACTCTCGGCCCTTATGGGTGAGGGTAGGACCCAGAAGAATCGGGGCTAGTGAGATGTGAGGACCTGGTGGATGGGAGGGACACTGGAGAATGCAAGGGCTGGCCCTGCCCCTTGGAGTCCCTGTCTCCCCCCCCCAGGGGGTGATTCTGCATGAGAGGCCCTCATCCCCAGCAAGGGCTGGGAGGCCTTGCTCAGAGCCCTACAGCATAGGCTGCCGGCAGGAAGAAGAATGAGAAGCTGGAGCTGCTGGTCGGCTGCATTGCAGAGCTTCGCGAAGAGGACGAGCACCTGCTTAGGGCCGGGGAGAATGACTTCAGCATCATGTACTCCACCCGGAAAAGGAGTGCCCAGCTGTGGCTCGGCCCAGCTGCCTTCATCAACCATGGTGAGGGTAACAGCGTGTGTGTGTGCGTGCGTGTGCGCGTGTGTGCGTGCGTGCGTGCGTGCGTGCGTGCATGCAGGCAAGTGTGTGCCGGGGGCTGCCTTCCCTTGCTCACGTGTTTCTCTCTTTTCTCTTGTGTCCACCCAACCGGTGACAGACTGCAAACCCAACTGCAAGGTGAGACCTGTAGAGTGCGAGACGGGTGGGCACGTGGGAAATGAAGGTGCGGGAGGGATGCTTTTTGGACTCTCCCGACAAAGCAGTTTCCTATCCTTGATAGTCCCCCGTAGCTGGCGGCAGCACCTGGAGTGGGCAGCGTGGGAAGGCACGTGTCCCCAAGGTTATCAGGGGGGGGGGAAGGAGGATCAGTGTGTTTGCACTGAGAATTATAAGTGCTCGGCTAACCTGAACAACTTCAGTGAAACTATATTTCAAAGGGGCCAGGGAGGCTCTCAGGGTAGTTGCTTGCTTAGCATAGGAGTGGTCTGAGCTGGAAGCACAGGGCCAGCAGGGAACAGATGCAGAGTTTTAGCTGAGCACTCTGACTTGTGCCTGTGGCATCAGTGTTTGGGGATGGAGGCAGGAGGATTGATGCAAGTTGGAAGCCAGCTTGGTCTACTTTGTGAGTTTCAGGTCACTTAGGATGATGAAGTGACAAGATCCTATCTTCAAAAAACTGAAAAGAAACATAATAATAAAATAATAATAATAATAAACAATGGACTGGGCATTGGTGGTTCACACCTTTAATCCCAGCACTGGGGAGGCAGAGGCAGGTGGATCTCTGTGAGTTCGAGGCCAGCCTGGTCTACAGAGCGAGTTCCAGGACAGGCTCCAAAGCTACACAGAAAAAGAAACCCTGTGTCAAAAAGCCAATGATGATGATGATGATGATAGGAGCATCCCCGGGGATCCCTGACCCATTGTGTACTGTCAGGGCACAGACCTCCTGCCCTCTGTGGGAGCCCCCAAAGCATGAGTTAGGGTCAAAGCTCAGCTTCCTGACTAAGAACTGAGAAGGGCTATGGCTGCACTGGCTGGCCCAGGGTTTCTCCTGTCGACGCCCCTAAGACAGTTGTTGGGGTCAGGCGGTGGACATCTGACACTGTGCAGACTTGTTTCTTGTGTCAGAGGCTGTCAGGATGAATGACACACAGCCCTCACCAGGCCGTGCACTGGAGGGACAGAAAGCAAAGGACACCATGCACTGGGTCACCAGCTGGCCTAGGAGGATCAGAGCTTTTCCAAGTGTTGAAGGAAATCAGGGGCATAAGAGGCCAAGACGTTTCACATCCTATGACAGGGACTGTAACGAAGCAAAGATGGTGACAGCTGGGCTAGTGAGCCTAGCTGACTGTCCTTCTAGCTGCATAGTGGGAGGTTTGGTTTCTAGATGGCCGTGGTGGCACTTCGCGGGAGGCTTACTGGGAAGGAAAGGACTGTATAGTTAGGATGGCCGTAGGGAGATTGGCAGGTAAAGGTAGAGGGGAGAGGGACAAGGATACAGGAGGTGGCACACTCAGGAGACACTGGCCATTTGGCCTGGACCGTCAGGCCTCTTTGGGTATCAGGGTTGAGTGGCTGGCTGGCTGGATAGCCAGTATGACCACGTTCTCCCTCAGATAAAGAGTACAGAGGATTACAGAAACGAGACGAGTCAGTAGGGTAACCACGGGGCGATGGTCCCCAAGGCAGGGCTTCGGAGTGGACACAAGCCTGGGGAGGGGGGGAGGTGGCCACGGAGGCGGAGTGGCAAGGAGTCGAGTGGCTCTTGAGGAACTATACCGTGGGCAGGTGGGCCTGGGCTGTGGAGCACAGGTCAGGGGAAGAACACAAGGGAGGTCATGGCCCATAGGGAGGGGTAGACACACAAGACAGGCTCGGAAGGGGCCATGGGGAGCACAGGCTCTAGCCAGGGCAGCTGCCAATAAATGACAGAGTGGGGGTGGGGTTCCGCAGCTGCAGCCCGACCCGTTCCAGAACCCCTAGGCCAGTGTGCCTGGTCAGGATGCGAAACTGGACAGCTCCTGCCCCGTGCCCCCCCTCCCCGTTGGGATATTGAGTGGGCGTGGCCTCAGTTTGTGCCCTCAGATGGGAATACTGCCTGTGTGAAGGTGCTCCGGGACATTGAGCCAGGGGACGAGGTGACGTGCTTCTATGGCGAGGGCTTCTTCGGTGAGAAGAATGAACACTGTGAATGCTACACCTGTGAGAGGTAGGCGTGGCCGATGCGGGGGTGGGGTGGGGGGCGGTGGAGGGTCCCTGGGCTGCGATGCATCTTCAGGATTCACTCTGAGCCGCGTCTGACCCAGCATCTGCCTCTGCCCTTTTTTCTGTTCGTGCAGGAAGGGTGAGGGAGCTTTCAGACTTCAGCCCCGGGAGCCGGAGCTGCGGCCACAGCCCCTGGACAAGTATGAGCTTCGAGAGACCAAGCGGCGTCTGCAGCAGGGCCTGGACAGCAGCCAGCAGAGCCCGCTGGGCCCGCGGGTCTGCTCCCACCTGGCCCCGCTCCGCCCCCAACGTGACCCATTCTGCGGTGAGCGCACCCCTGGTGTCCAGCCTTTGGGTCATTTCTTTGCTGAACTGCCCGTAGGCGGAACTCTTCGGGCCCTGCTGACCCCTTTCCCCTTTACTTCTCTCTTCCCTGACTACCGCAGCTGCCTGCCAACCCCCATGCCTGCTGCCTGCCAGCCCCCAGCTGGACTACTTGCCCCTCTGGCTCCAGTGGATGCCTCAGCCCCAGCCCAGAGTGCGTCCCTGGAAGCGTCCCCGGAAGCGCCGCCGCCCCAGGATCCGCCAGGCTGCATCGCCCCCTGTCCTCCATGCTGTCTCTGTCTCCTTACACCGGTGGGGAGGCTGCGGTCCCCACTGCCAACTGCGGGCTGAGGCCGTGGTGGCCCTGAACCTGCTCCCCAAGACGCGCTGGACCCCTCAACAGGACTGGTACTGGGCCCGGCTCTACGGGCTACCTTCTGTGGTGCGTGTAGACCTGACCCGCCTAGACCTGACCCGCCTAGCCCCAGCCCAACCAGCTGCTCCTGTTCCTGTGGGGAGCCCGGCCCCTGTCCCCACCCCTGACCTGGTCCCTAAGCAGGCCCTTGCCTTTGCTCCTTTCTGCCCACCTAAGCGCCTCCGGCTAGTGGTCAGTCATGGCTCCATCGATCTGGACATCAACAGTGGTGAGCCGTGATAAGCTGCCTGCAGGGAGCCCAGACTGGAGTGCAGTCTCTGTCTTGGACACCTCCAGAAGGGAGGAAGGGGTTGACCCTTGACCCAGGTCTGATCCTGGGATCGTGTTGGTTAGGACATCCCTAGGGAGTTGATCCTTACTGCTCTATGACTGCTGACCCCTGAGCCACACCCCCACACACACCAAGCAGGGAGCCCTGGCCATTTGATGCTCCCTCCCCATCCCTGGCCCCGCCCCACCCCCAGAACTGTAGGAGACATCCCCTCCCCTCAGCCTCCTTCTCCCCCAGGGAGCAAAGCCATAAGGGGTGGGGGCCACTCCATGGCAACTCTCTAGAATTCTGCTCAGACCACGGAGGTGGAACTGACTTGGGGGCTTGCCCTCCCAAGCTGCCCCCACAGTGGGGAGTGGGTTGGCTCTCAGCCCTGCAGTTGTTGGAGGCAGGAGCAGTCAGAATGGGTGGGTGGTACCCAGGAACACATCCTTGGCCCTACCCACCCCATGGTCTCAGGGAGGCCAGGTGTGACCTCGTCTTTCTCACGGTGCTATCCCCGGTGCTACTGGGGTGTAGGGGAGGCTCCCTCTCCTCCCCACACCAGAATGGGGGTATGATGGGGGATTGGAAGAACTTGAACTTTTTATTAAAACGTTTTATGCCCTTAGGAGTTCTTATGTTTTAGGGGGGTGTCAGGCTGGAGGGTGAGGTCTCAGCCTTGCTGGGGAGATGAGGTGGCGTGCCTTGGACACTGATAGCTGCCCCGACAAGCCTTAAGAAGGGAGACGGGAGACGGGCAATGGGTTCCGGGGACTTCTGTACTAAGGTAAAGTCCCGTGACCAAGTGAGGAGATAAGTGGATGGCAGTGAGGCCATGTAAGGACTTGTCCCTTTCACTCCTCAGCCAGGTGCCCTTACCTCTAGTGCAGGGCCTGCTGTGGAGGCACCCCTTTAATTCTAGCACTCAAGAGGCAGAGGCAAGTGAGTTCAAGGCTAGGCTGGTCTACACAGGGAGTTCCAGGCCAGCCAAGGCTACATAGACTCTGAAAAATACAATACAATCTTCAGGGAGTTGTTGGGCCTGTGCAAAAGCAGGTTCTGGGGAGATGACATCGATAGGACCCAGAAACCCAGCCCTGGTGATGGGTGGGGGAACTCCCATGTAGCCCGGTCGGCCTCAGACTCCTTGTTGTACTCTCGGAGTTAATAAAATAAAATAAAAAGCTGGCGGGTGTAGCCGGCTTTCTTGGCAAGCACCAAGCCCTTCGTTTAACCCTCCGTGCCAGAAAAGAGAACTAAAGAGCTTGTGCAGAAAGTGCTGCCCCAACTGTTTCTCCCCTTGAACCCTGGAGGTTGACCAGATGACCCCAGGAGCCGCAGGACCCTGCAGGGAGAGCCGGTGTCTGGGAACAAAGTGGGCCCCGAGGACAGAGCTTGAAGAGCAGCATAAGTGCTCTGACCTCTGCCCAGGAAGCAACTACAGAGCCAGGGGAAAGAGAAGACAGGGCAATTGGTCATGTGTCCTCTGGCCAGGGGAGGCTGCTAAGAGCTGAGTGTAGCCCTGGGATCTTGGGAAACAGTTCGGTGGGTGTTAGGTGGGGAACACTCACCGAGGGGCCTAGAGAGAACCGTTGAGAGTTTGTGGTGGGGTTGTTCACACACAGGGTACAGGCAGGGTGCGGAGCAGCTTCCCACATAGCACGGGCAGGGTTGGCCTGGGGTGTAAGATGGCCCGGAGTGCGGCGCAGGATGGTGCACGTGTAATTCCAGCACTCAGGAGGACGGAGAGTCTGAAGCCAGTCTGGCCCGTAAAAGTGTTGGGAAGAGACAGCAAGTGATCAAGTGGCAATGACAACGGGGATTGTGGACCTGAGAAGGAAAAGGGGAGAAAACAGCCTCCAGACCCACGTCTCTGGGCCGGACAACGGTGGCTGCACAGCTAATGGCCCAGCCTCCTAACTGGTGACATCACTAAGTCCTCAGGCAGCATTTGACCTCTCCCCAAGACAGTGCTGTCTTATCCGCGGTATCTCCTGTGGGGATGGTGAGTGACCAATCTTCCGGTAGCCTTGTCCTCACCCTGTACTTCCACCATGCCCGTCTCTCTCGGGTTGTGGTCAGACAGCTCTGAGGCCAAGGTCTAGATGTAGTCATCCTGGGCCACATCTGGGGTGTGTCCTTGGTGGGTGGTGAGCAACCTATGGGGCAGGTAGTAGACAGGTCATGCAAGGGTGGGACCAGCCATACAACCCCCACCCCCATCCTGCTTCTGATAACGGGACTCTGAGCCATTTGCTTTACAGCTGGAGCTGGAGAAACTGGGGTTGGTTATTCAGGGAGGTGGTGTGCATAATCAAAGTTACATTGAAAACTGGGAGTAGTCACATGAGGCCTTTCAAGACAGTTTGCGGTTACTGCAGGTCTAGTCAGGAGGCTGGTAGCTGTGGGTAGCAGCAGGTGCCAACACAGCCAGGCTAGAAGCCTCTGCTTCTGTTAAGGATTACTGGTGCCGGGCTTGGTGGCTATAATCCCAACACGTGGGAAGTAGAGGCAGGAGGATTAAGAGTTCAAGGCTATCCTGTCTACAGGAGACTTATGGTAAACAAGCAAACAGGGTGACTTCAGGATGGAGAGGAGGCCCAGTGGCTTGGTTCTTCCAGAGGACCTGGCATCGGGCTGCTTAGTCTCCACCCAGCAACTACGGTTGTAAGGCATCTAATGCCGTCTCTTGGCCACCTCTCACTAGTACCCACTCTCGCCCTACTCAAATAACATTTTAAAAGGAGGGCCAGGGAGTCAGTTCGGCAGGGTGGTGGTGCGCACCTTTTAGCCCCAGTGCACAGGAGGCAGGCATGGGTAAGATGGGCTTCTGTGGGTTCAAGGCCAGCCAGGGCTAAGTAAACCTGTCCATAAAAAGGAGGAGGGTGTCACTCCTTATGTTTGGGAGATATTGCCGAGGAGCATCTGGACCCAGAACCATTGGGGGCTGAGTGTGCTGAAGGGGGCCAGTGGGAAAACAGAAGTGTGACATTTGCATGGAGAAAGGGACAGATGGCCTCATATGAGCACAGGGGTGGACCTGCATTAGACATCAAAGGGGCTCAGTGGATCTAAGTTCCAGGAGATGCAAGCCCTTACCCCCTTCTGGTCCCCTTGAGTACCAGGCACTCAAGGGGCGTGCGAACATACGTGAATATTTTATTCATGCACACATGTATACATGAATATCTTACTCATACACAAATTCTTTTTTTCCTTTTTAAATCAGAGGGTGTGGCTGTGGGGGACCTGGGGCTGCTGAAGGATAGAAAAGCCTTTGGGGCCCTACTGGGACAAGAGGGGCTCTTGTGGTGGAGACAGGATGATTTTGGAGGTAAATGGGAGGTAGGGCGCGATGGGAAATTGGTAAGAGCTTCAGGCTGGGTGGGTCCATAGGATACGCAGGAGGTGGGTCCGCAGGAGGGGAGGAGGCTGAAGGAAGGGAGCGGAGCAGGTAGGTGCGATGGGCAGACACCCTGACCCTGGAGCCCTGTAGGTGGAGTCTTTGTTGTGATTTTTTTGGGGGGGGGGTCGGGGTTTCACTATATATTGTAGCCTTGGTTGACCTTGAACTCACTATGTAGACCAGGCTAGCTTCAAATTCATAGAGACCCATGTACTTCTGCCTCCGGAGTGCTAGGCTAAAGGCATGGGCTACCTTGAATGTTGAGCTCTTGACTTGGTCGTCACAGGCAGAACCCAAGAGCCTCTAAGCTTGTTTCTACCTACCTGCCTTTGACTGCTTTAATTCTGAAGCAGCAATCCTTCTCCTTGGCCCCACGATCAAAAGAAGCAGTGTTGGGGGGGTGGGGTGTCAGCCGGTAAGCAATTACCATGTATGCTTGACGACCTGAGCGGGCACATAAAAAGCCTGGTGCAGCAGCCCTGTGGGAAGTCAGAGACAAGAGGATCCCAGCTAGTCTAGCCCATCGGTGAGTTCCAGGGTCGGGGGGGGGGGGAGGGGCGGGGGGAAGGAGAGGCAGAGAGTCTCAAAAACACAAAAACAAAAAGAAAAGAAAGAAGCAAAAAGCAAACATTAGCAGCACCATAACTTTATTTGTGGCGTGGAGATAGAGGTGGGTAACCCAGGCTGGGGCTTGGTCAGAGGGCAGCGGTCACTGGAGGACGATCCCTCCCTCCAGGGAGACAGCGCTCAACTGCACAGTCAGATTTTGCCCGGGAAAGTCCCCTGCTTGATCTGCTCGTTCCAGCGCTGCACCTGGAGAGGCAGAAGGGACCCCAGCGTCTGCTCAGCCCGAGTCTGAGCCCGCCACCCTCTCCACCAATCCCCCGCTCCGTCGCCCTCTCACCCAGCTGATGGGACACAGTGAACGGTACACGCGGAAATAGTACTCGCAGGGCTGTGTGCTCTTCCCGCGGTGGTTCATAGCCTTGATGCAACGGTGGTAGTCTGCAGAGAGTATCGGGGATGGGAGGTGGGGGAGGTGTCACGACACAAGCCACGCCCTTCTAGTCACTGGCACTGCCTAGGGCCCCTGGCCATTCCTCAGTCTTATCCTCTCCAACCAATCGGGCTCCTCCTTTGGACTATAGCCCTCCCCCCCCCACCAAAAAACCAAACCAAACCAAACCAAACCAAAACAAACCTCCCATCTTGACTGAGCTCTACTTGCTACCTGGCTAGGACCAGTCCCTTCTGGTTGTCTGCTTCACCTTGCCCCTCCTCCAGGACAAGTTCTGTCTGGGTCTCTATCAGGTGCCCGCCTCCCTTCACCTCTGCCCCCCCCTTTCTCTTGACCCAGCCCCCTCTCACTCCTGGCCTTGCCCTTTACTGACAAGGCTCCGTCCCTCCTGGCTCAAAACCATTTCACTCCAGGGTGGCAATCTTAATGCTTCCAAAACTGGCAGCCGCCTCCACTCCAGGCCCCGCCCCTCCGCGGCCCTGCCCCACCCACTTCGGTGCAGGCCCCGCCCCTGCGGGCTAAGGTCCGGCCTCCCATTCCAACGGTCTCTGAGGGTCTCCAGGTGGGGGCCTCCCCTCTAATCTGGCTCAACCGGTCTCACCCAGAAAATTCTGGTAGCAGTTACGAGTCTGGTTCTGGTTAGGGAAGCGCGGGTCAAAGGGGACCGTTTTCCATTCTCTCGAAGAGGGCATCTGGGCTTTAACATCCAACATCCACCGAAGGAAGGGTCAGCTCCTGCAGGAAGGGAGCCCCTCGCTCCGACCTTTCCCGGCTCCTGACCCAGTCTAACCCCACCCACCTTGCCCTCACCAGATGAGGTGGGCGAACTTAGCTGGCACACCAGGGCTGTGGACGTCCACTGGTGCGTTTAGCTCGCTCGAGAGTGAGGACTAGTCCCAAGAGCGCAGGAAAAATACGACCCTCAGGCCGGATTGGCTGGCCCTCAGGGTGTCCCGGCCAATAGGATCCCTCTGTAATGTGAGGGGTGGGGTCACCGGAGGCCCCGCCCCTCCTCCTTGCGGGGATGCTCACGCAGATAACAGGCTCCAAGGCTGCGCTTTGAGTCTCAGACTAAGACTTTTAATCCCCCACAAAGCTGAGCCAAAGCTGAGCTTCTCCCTGACATCTGCCCCGCCCCGCCCTCCCCAATATATAAACGTATATCTGGCTCTGGTCTCTACGGGAGAGGGAGGGTCTCCCCACCACCACACGCGGTTTTCTCAGTCGGGGTGCACAGCACCCTGCAGGCCTGTGAGGGAAGGAGGAAAGGGAGGATGATTCCTGGTTCCCGAGGCCCACTCCTCCAGGTCCAGATCTTCCAGGTCTAATGGGTACCTACCTTGGCCTCAATGGGCTTCTGGACAATTTGTTGATACATTGACTCTCCTGCATTGTTATCTTAAATCCTTGTGGGAGAGAAAGGCAGAGAATGTTTTAGGGGATGGTCAGAGAGACAGGTATCCAAGAGTATAGAAATTATATATATTTCACAGCTGTTGTTTACCCCTTAAAAGGTGGTCAATATATTTATCCTTTCTAGTGTTCAAAGACGTTCTGGTCACCCTTTAGGTTCCCCCCCCCCAACACATTAGACGTCATCCCCCATTCCTACAACTCTAAGCATTTTCTTTAAACCACCATCTTTTTTCTGTCTCTGTGGATATCTGGACACTTCATAGAAATTAATCTTATCTGGTTGGCTTAGGGTTCTGTTTCTTTCATTTGGTATGTGATAATTTGCTTTTATTTATTTATTTTTTCTCGAGACAAGGTCTCACCATGCCCTGGAAATTGTCTTGTTTGAACTGGGTATGTAGATCCCACCCACTTCTGCTTTCTGAGTGCTGAGACTCAAGGGGAGAGGGGCGACATGCCATGGGTGCTTACGTAGATCACAGGACAATTTGTGGAAGTTCATTCTCACCTTCCACCATGTGGGTCCCAAGGATGCCCAGCTTGGTGACAAGCACTTTTTCCCACTGAGCTATGGCAAGGGCTCTTATTTTCTTAGTTTGTGACTGGGTCAGTTTGTAGTTCAGGCTGGCCTCGATAATTATGCATAGCCAAAGGTGACTGTGAGCTCCTGATCCTATGCCTCTGCCTCCCCAAAAGTGTGTCCTGCCACACCCAGTTTTATTTGGTGTCAGCTACCACACCCTGTTTTATCAAATCCAGGGGCCTCCTGCCTGAACGCTAGGCAAGCAAGCCCTCTGCCAAGAGCATTATATCCCACACTTGCTCTGTCTCTTCCGATCGCTCCTTGCAGGTGACTTCGCCCATCTCACGGTTCTCACAGGCTGATAACTCCCCCAAGTCACTTCCCCCGAGTCCTAGGCTCACGCATCCCCACCATTGGTTGCACATCTGCCTCAGTCATCTGGGAATCGCTTCCCTGAGCCTCCCACTGCTGCTCTGGCTTTAGCATTCTGCAGGTCTGGCACCGTCAACTTGATGCCATTGAGGGTCACCCAGGAGACAAACATCTGGGCACATCTGTGAGGGCCAACGGAGGTGGGAAGACCCACTCTCAGTGTAGGTGGCACCATACTGCAGTCTGGAGTGCCTGGCTGAATAGAAACGAGAAAATGGGGCCGAGGCGATGGCTCAGTGGGTAAACTGCCTGTTGTGAAAGACACAACATGGCTTTGGGACCTGAGAACCCATGGGAAACCAAGGGATGGTGGCCCACTCCTGTACCCCAAGCATCACGCCTGGAATCTCAGCACTCGGGAGGCAGAGGCAGGCGGATCTCTGTGAGTTCAAGACCTGCCTGGTCTACAAGAGCTAGTTCCAGGACAGCCTCCCGAGCAATACCGAGAAACCCTGTCTCAGGAAAAAAAAAAAAAAAAAAAAGTTGGCAGTGGTGCCAGCTGTTAATCCCAGTCCCAAATACCTAAGCATGATGGTCGCTGAATTCCTTCCCTGGTACCTCATTTTTCTCCTCCATTTTTCTCTTATTCTCTATCTCCAAAGTGATGGGAAAGAGAACTTCCGAGTTTGGCCCTGCGACAGCCACAGGCTGCTGCTGTGTTTGCTTGAGTCCTTGATCTTTCACCCCAGGCTTTTGAGGCACCCTGACTGAGGTCTCTGTCTTAGAGATGAGGGATGTGACGGATGTCAATGGCTGGTATGGGTCCTCAGAATCTAAGGTGGGTATGGTGGTGCCAAACTTTGGAGTTTGGTACATCTTTGGCAGATCAGGTGCAGGTTCCTTGGAAGTCCTCAGCGAGTCCTCGGGTGGCTTCCCCTCCATCTGGGGCTGCGTGTTCTCCTTCACCTTAGTTTGGGAACTTGCTTGTCCCATGACTTTTACATGTCCCTGCTCTGGGAAGGTCATCGGGCTGGAGTTAAAGGGCAAATTGGCCAGCATAGACGTGGGAGACCCCTTGGAAGTCACAGAGAACCAGGTGGGCAGAGAGATGGTAGCTGGCTTCAGGTGCTGCTCTTTGGAGTTGGCCATGATCATCATCTTGGCAAGAGCAAGCCCCTCCACAGAGAAGGGCCTGTTGTCGTCTATGTGGGGGCCCTCAACAGCCACCTTCTGGGTCAGGATCCATTTCTTCTGCGTCTCTCTCTCCTTTGACTTCAGATCAGGCAAGTTCACGGCTGTCTCCTCCTTCACTTTGTGGGCCCTGTCTTCCACCTTGCCTCTGGCCTTCAAGGCCTCCAGAGTGACCTCCTGGGTTTTGCTAATCAAGATCTCCTTGGATTGCTTCTTGGTGGTGGCATTGGGCAGCTGCAGGGACATGGCCTGGGTCTTCATGTCTACTACTTTCGTCTTTTGCCCTCCCACCAATACCGCAGGCTCCTGTTTCCCTTCAGGCTTTCTCTCAAGCTTGTCTCCTGCCGGTAACCTGCTGGCATCCCCAGGGGCCTTTGCCCTTGAGTCAGGAGGTCTCTGAGACCGGACGGTCGGAGCCTTCTGAGATTGAGTATTTGGGGCTTGACAGTCCTTCTTTGGGGGCATGGCCTTCTGGAGAGCTTGGGGTGCTTGTAGAAGCTTCGGGATTGGGGGTAAATTTTTTTGGGGTGGGACTACAAGAACTGGGGTCTTCCGGGAGGGTCCAGGAATGGGTGCGGCCTTATGGGAAGCAGAAGGTGGACCCTTACAGGAGAGGCTAGGTATGGCTGAAGACTTCTGGGCGGACCATGGTGGCGCTGGGGCCTTCTGAGATGGAGCGGGAAGGCCTGGGGCCTTCTGAGCTGGAGCCGATTCCCCTGGTACCTTACTAGACTTGTCCAAAATGAACGGTGTTTTCCCTGATGTGACAGGGACAGATGCAGCCTTCTGGGAGGACAGTGGCCCCACATATTTCTTTGGGTCTTTGGACCTGGCCTTGTCACTGGACTTTGGATAGGAGGGACTCGGTGGGAAAATGTAGAAGGCAGGAGGGTAAGGGGCCATGTGCAAGGAAGAAGACAGTGTGGTGGACTCAGCGTCTATGAGATCTTCAAAGTCCTTCATCCACAGGAAGGTGTCCATGTTATCACAGGAGTTCATGAATGGTAAATCAGGACTGTCGTGAGAGACACACTGTGTAGGAGTCTCAATCAGATGGCCCCGGCCTGTGGCTCCCTCAGAATCAGATCTGTGGGTCTGTAAATGGATGGGGTGGGCATGTTCAGGACCAGGAGAGACACAAAGCTTGGGAATCTGTCTTTCAGCCATCATTCTTACCGCCAGGAGTCCACGCCCCAGCCTCCTCCCTTGGACCCCACAGTCCAGGCCCCAGCCTCCTCCCTTGGACCCCACAGTCCAGGCCCCAGCCTCTAGTAAATAGCTTGCCTTTGAACTGGACTGTTCCTGGTTCATCGTGCCAGAGATGATGCTAAAAATGGTCCGGATGGTGATACTAGCCTTCTCTGTAGGGCAGAAAGAAGTCTGAGCCCTCTGGGAAAGGGATCAAACTCACAAGCAGGTTCATGCATGTGGGAGAGGGTGGGCATTGGTCATACCAGAAACATGGATTAGAGTTTTGGATCCATCGGGGCAGGCATCTAGGTAGGATCTACAGAAATAATGTAGTGGAGCATTAGTGATGTCTGAGCCAGGGTCCTAAACACAACCAGCCAAAACAAACAAACAAACAGAACCCATTGCCTACTTCTTTTCTGTGACTTCCAGATGCTCAGCAGGTTGCAGATGTGACCAGATGAGAGGCAGAGAGTCACCCACAGCCTGAGACCTAAGTCTTTGCTTGACTGTCTGTCCATGGGCAGAGAACAGAGAGGAGTCAGTCAGAGTAGGGGCAGCCCCTGGGCCATGCTGGAACGTGCATGCATACACACACACACACACACACACACACACACACACACAGAGAGAGAGAGAGAGAGACAGAGAGAGAGAGAGAGTGTGCAAGCCCTGGTTGCCTCACCTTGGTCTTCCTTTGTTTTCGAGAAGGGAATATTTTGTAAGGAAAGGTGCGCTCAGTAGCTTCTCCTGGGGAGACAGAGAGAGAAGGGTCAAGGATCTTAGCGGGCTCCGATGTGGGGCAGGCTCTGAGGTCCCTGTGAGCTTAGCCAGGAGTGCAGAAGAACCTGCCCAAGTGTTTGAGCTCCACCCATGCTTTGAGGGAGGGTACCTGACATGCAGAGGAAGGTGGCTCAGCCTTTGACAGAGGTGGCTCACCTGTAAGTCCGCATCCAGGCTGGTCCTGTGGACAGAAGGGACAGTTGGCAGAGTCTTTCACTGGTCCCCCTTTCTCGGTTTAAGATTTGCTTGTTTATCCTTTTTTGTTTGTTTATTGTTTGTTTTTCGAGACAGGGTTTCTCTGTGGCTTTGGAGCCTGTCCTGGAACTTGCTCTGTAGACCAGGCTGGCCTCGAACTCACAGAGATCCACCTGCCTCTGCCTCCCCAGTGCTGGGACTAAAGGCGTGCGCCACCAACGCCCAGCTTGTTTATACATTTTTATGTGGAGGTATGAGTGCCTGCATGTATGTATGTATGTGTACCATGTCATGTTAACGTGGAGCCAATGGTAAGCAGAGCCCCTCAAGCTGGAGTTCCTTCTGTGGCTTTTCAGCACCCTGGGTCCTCTGCAAAAGCAGTATGTGTTCTTAACCACTTTTCCAGGCTTTAAAGTGTTTTATTGCATGTACTTATTTCTTTGTTGTTGTTGTTATTTGAGACAGGGTGTCTCAGTGTTAACAGTCACGACTGTCCTGGAGCTCACTCTGTAGACCAGGCTGGCCTCGAACTCACAGAGATCCGCCTGCCTCTGCTTTCCAAGTGCTGGGGTTAAAGTTGTGTGTCACCAACAGCCAGGCTATGTACTTACTCCTTTTGGGGACGTGGCGTGCACATGCCATGGCACCTCCTTGGAGGTCAAGGGACAGCTTTTAGGAGATTGCTGTCCCCTTCCACCATGTGGGACAGGGGATCCATCTCCAGTGGACAAGCTTGGAGACAAGTGCCCACTGAGCCCTCTCACCGCCCCACACACCTAGCCTGCCTTTGTACATGAATTCTGGAGTCAGGGTATGATTTAGACTCTTGAACTTGCAAGGGAAGTCCTTTATGGGCTCTTCAGCTCCCACTTTGCTTTTGTTGTTGACACAGGGTCTCACTCTATAGGCAACAATGTCCTTCTGAAACTCACCGTGTAGCCCAGGCTGGCCTCGAACTCATTGCAACCCTCCTGCTTCAGCCTCCCAAGTCTTGGGAATGACAAGCATAAACCACCAAAGCTTTTTTTTTTTTTTTTTTTTTTTTTATTAAGAATTAGAAGCTGGGGGTTTGTGGCGCACGCCTTCAATCTCTGTGAGTTCAGGGCCAGCCTGGTCTACAAAGCTAGTTCCAGGACAGGCTCCAAAGCAACACAGAGAAACCCTGTCTCGATAAACAAACAAACAAACAAAAAGAATTAGAAATTACAGGGGCAGTGGTGGTGCACACCAGAGGCAGAGGCTGAGACCTCTGTGAATTTGAGGACAGCTTGGACGACAGAGAGAGTTTCAGGACAGCTAGTGCTATTACACAGAGAAAACCCTGCCTCAAAGAGCCAAAAGAAAGGCCAGGCGTTGGTGGTGCACACCTTTACTCCCAGCAATCAGGAGGCAGAGGCAGGTGGATCTCTGTGAGTTCAAAGCCAGCTTGGTCTACAGAGCTAGTTTCAGGATAGACTCCAAAGCTACACAGAGAAACCCTGTCTTGAAAACAAAACAATAAATAAATAAACAGAAACCAAGGCCTGGCCAAGGGGCACAGCAAGAGAAAGCACCTTGTGGCTAAGCCTGATGACCTGAGTCTGATCCCCAGGATCCACATGGTAGGTGAGAACCGACACTCAAGTGTGCATTCTCACACATATACAAAAAGGAGTGTGAATAGGCTAGTGAGCTGAGGGTATAAACCAGACTAGCATCAATGGTTCTGTTAGTGTTGTTTCGGTCTTGGGTTTTTTATTATTTATTTATTTATTTATTTATTTATTTATTTATTTATTTATTTATTTTGAGATGGTGTTTCTCTGTATAGCCTTGGCTGGGCTTAAAGGCATGTGCTGTAACCTCCCAGCTGTCTCTGAGATTATAAGCACGTGCTGCTACACCCAGCATTTTTATGTGGGTTCTAAGGGGCTGAACTCAGGTCATCATACTCCCAAGGCAACACCTTAACCAACGGAGCTATTTTCCCTGCCCTGTGGTTTCCCGTCTGTTACCTACCCAGCCAGTCACTTCATCCCCAGCTTTCCTTCCTTGGTTCCATGAGGTCAGACCCTCCCTTCAGACCTAGCATTCTAGGAACCCAGCTCCTTTCCCTGGGCTCCCTAGGCTTTGGGCTGTTGGTCCTCTCTCTCCTCTATGGAATCAGGACAGTGGTCTGAATCCCCACCTGAAGGCGCCAGGTGGAGGCTGGCGCTCCGTTTACGGGCGTGTTCAGAGGGCTCGTGTTTAAGGTCCTGGGTGCCCAAGATATGGTAGGTTCATGAAGCAGGTTGATGAGGCGAATCCAGCGGTCAAACAGGAAGCTTAGTTCGTGGTCAGGGGCATCCAATTCCAGGTAGTAATAGCGGCCGGTGATCAGACGCAGCTTCAGGCGCCAGGAGGACAGATCGTGGACATAGAGGTGGGCAAGGTCTAGTGGAATCATCCTGCGGGAGGTGGGAGACCTCCCGGGTAGCTCGTGCCATAGAGAGGGAGGAGTGGAGTGAGCCAGGGGTAGAGCTCAAGGAACGAGGAGGAACGTACCTGGTCAGGTTCAGATTGGAGCACTCTCTACTCTCGGGGGGCCGAGCAAGCAACAGAATGTCAGGTAGCACTAGACCAGGCAGGGATGCCGCTACGCCCATAGTCAGCTTGTTGGTTTGGTGGTGCACAAACGCAGGAGCTCCACGATTGGTCACCTGGGGCAGCCAGGGAGCAGGGCTGGGACCAGTCTTTTTTCCAACATGCCTCCAGCATCCCCTCACCTGAGAGCCTCCTTGCTTTCCAAACCCACTCAGTCCGGGGCGGCGGGGCGGGGTGGGGTGGGGTGGGGTGGGTGGGTGGGTGGGGTGGGGTGGGTGGGTGGGGTGTCTCTCTCTCTTCCTGTGTCTCAGCCCTCCTCCCCCATTTCCCCGGGGCCCAGGGAGCCAGGGACCTGGACAAAGTTACTCTCGAACATGGGCAGCGGGCGGAGGGGCAGGTACTCGCCCTTCTGGAGGGTCTTCTGCAGCTCCCCAAGAATGGGGACCCACTTCTGGGGTTCCTGGGGAGGCTGGGTACGCCGAATGTTCAACAGCCGTTTCATGATGGCTGTCAGTACAGCGGGTGGGGATGTGTAGGCTCAGGGATCCAGGACCCAGGTGGAGCCCTGACCCCCACCCCAGCCCACCAGCCTTGGACCCCTGGGCTTCAAGGATGTCAGGAGCTCAGCAGTGACAGCAAGTGGATTGTCCCCAGGGCTGAGAGACTCTGGTATGGCCATGGCCCTGTGAGAGGTAGTCGGCTCTAGGCAGTGGGAGGAACCTTTGGGAGGGGCTTTGTGACCTCACCAGCCACCAGGGGCTGCCCAGAGGACTCAGCCTTCCAGAATATGGCCTTGGGTCTTGAGGACCGGGAGAGGTGAATCAGAACTCCATCCGAACACCCCGTCTCCTGGACCCAAAATTGCGAAGGCACAAGCGGCAACACCATAGGGTCTGTGTACCTATACAGGCCAGGGATCATTAACCCAAACGCTTGAATCACAGGCCGAGCTCTGCCAGTGACCCTCCTCCTGACACTCAGCAAGACCCAATGCCATGCTAAGCCTCAGTTTCCCAAAGGGGTGTGTGTGTGTGTGTGTGTGTACATGTTTGCATGACTCACAACAACTGAACCCTGAACTGTAAAGAAAGGGCCATCATAGCTGAGCATGGGGATGATAACTGTATTCCTAGCACTAGGGATATAGAGGCAGGGAAATCTTAAGTTTGAGGCCAGCCTAGGCTATATAACCATACCCCATTTTAGCCAGGCGTTGGTGGTGCATGCCTTTAGTCCTAGCACTCAGGAGGCAGAGGTAGGAGAATGTGAGTTTGAGGCCAGCCTGGTCTACAGAGCTAGTTCCAGGCTCCAAAGCAATACAGAGAAAGCTTGTCTTGAAAAACAAACAAACAAACAAAAAACAGAGCAATACCCTGTCTTAAAATCATTCAATTGTCAGTCATGGCACAAGCCTTTAATCTGAGCACTCAGGAGGCAGAGGCAGGCGGATCTCTGTGTTCAAAGCCAGCATGGTTTGCAGAGTTGGTTCCAGAACAGCTAAAGCTACATAGAGAAGCCCTGTCTCAAAATAACAAACAACCAAAAAGTAATCAACAAATAAATAAATTGAACCAAGCACATAGTTAAGTAGTAAAATGCTTGCCGGGCATGCACAGGGCCCTGGGTTCAATCCCAGCACCATAATGACACAACTACCTGTGTGACAACCACAACAGCAACAAGCTGGGCATGGTGACTCTCATCCCAGAACTCAGGAGGCAAAGACAGGCGCATCTCTGTGAGTTTGAGGCCAGCCAGAGCCTCACTATAAGACTCAAAAAGAAAAAAAAAGAAAAAACCTACAGAAACCAACCTCTGGGGCTGGAGAGATGGCTCAGAGGTTAAGAGCACTGGCTGCTCTTCCAGAGGTCCTGAGTTCAATTCCCAGCAACCACATGGTGGCTCTCAACCATCTGTAATGAGATCTTGTGCCCTCTTCTGGCCTGTGGGGATACATGCAGACAGAACACTGCATACGTAATAAATAAATGAATTAAAAACAAAAAAAAGAAAAAAGAAAAGAAACAAACTCCTCTCATTTGGGCCTCAATTTCCCTCTCTTATAAAACATGACATATTTTGAGGATCTGGGACAGTTATTTAAGTTAAAAAAATAAATAAATCCAGGCCCAGCATGGCCTAAAACATGGGCTCCAGTAACCACATTTCTTGCTTCCTTTTTTTTTTTTTTTTTCTTGTGGAGTGTGTACAGCAGGGTGAGAGACAGAGACTAATATTCTGTAATTCTAAAAATAGTGTTTATTATTGTCTCCAAATGTGCCATGCAAAATACAATCACGGTTAAAACTCTGGAAAATACAAGCACACACACGCGCGCAGGCACACACAAAAATAAGAGTCACCCCACAGTCCCATCTTGTGTTTTCAGCCCTGAGACAGTCATTGCCAAGATTATGGTGTTTCCATTTTCAAAAAGAAAATGCATACGTATATAGAAAAGTCTGGTTCCACTGCACCATCTGCCGTTCTCCCAATGCAGGGATGGACGTTCAGTGTCTAACGCGGTCTTCTCCCGGACATTTCGAGACTGGCTGGTCCATATTCCGTCACATGAATGTGTCCCTTTTCACTCATCCATCCCCTACTAGTGAGCCCAGGTTGTTCCCCATTGGCCAGCGTGGATGTCACAGGAAACTAACCAGTCTTGCACTTGGCAGCTCGGTACCACACAGGTGCTGGTCTAAGGTGGCGGAGGAACGGTCTGGAACATCCTTCTGTTAAATATCCACTGAATTTTGAAGTGGCTAGGCACTGGGTCAGACTGGGATCATTTTGGCACCCCCCTGCTAATTGCCTCTAAGTGGGTGTGTGTTTAAATCACTCCCTTTTCTGTCTCACAAAAAAAGTCTCACATTTTGATATAAAACCCCCATGGTTCCTTCTCTTCCCCCTCCCTTCTCCTCTTAACATAAAAAGTAAATTGTTTAATAAATAGTGGAGGAATGAATCCAGGAAGACATTGTGGATAGATTTCATAGAGACCCCAGAATCCAGGATCTCAGTTCCCTCTTCTTCAAGGGAAGAACCCGGCCCCGCCCACCCCGATTTCTTAAATAAATAAGTATAAATAAGCCACACAAGTGACCCCCACCCCTTACCCAGGTCTCCTGGAGGGAGTGTATCTAGCTGGGTGTCAGGAAGTGTGGGTGTGGCATGCCCCTGATCATCTTATCGTCCCCCCCCAAGTAACCAAAATAAATAAATAAATAAGATGTGGCTTTCAAAAGATGATATGGATGGTGGCTTTCAGTCCTGAGTCACAGCCGAGTCTTTAACAACAGCAGACCTCGCACAGCCCAGTCCAAGGTCAGGTGCAACCCTCCTAAGATGGCATGGGCAGCCCGGATGCTTCCCCATGCTGAGGTAGGAGGGCCCAAAGGGACTGAGGGTTGGTCTGGGGCTGCCTGAGGCAAAGCCAGGCGAGCCGTCTGTTGGAGAAAGAAACAAGGTTAGCAAAAGGCAAAGGGGTTTGGGTTTAGGATCTCTTCAGGGTCTTGGGGTCGGAGAGCTGAAGTTGGAGTGGTGTGGTAGTCCCAGCACTCCGGAGGTAGAAGTATCAGGGGTTCAAGGCTACGTAGGAAAGGCAGTTTGGGCTACATGAAAACCCTGATCGTTAAACAAAACAAAACACCCTTGCTGTGGAGAAGGCAGAAGGTTTGCACAATCAAGAGGGCCTGCGTGCAGATCTCTGGGACTCGTGTGAAAAAGCTGCGCATAGCCACTTGTGGCCTGTGCCTGTCGTCCCAGTGCTGTGGAAGTAGAGAGGGGAGGATTCTGGGAACCTGCTGGCTATCTATAGTCTAACTGAATTGGTGAGCTCCAGACTCAGTGAGAAATCTTGTCTCAAAAAGCAAGGCAGAAGCCGGGTGTTGGTGGTGCAAGCCTTTAGTCCTAGCACTGGGGAGGCAGAGGCAGAGGCAGGTGGCTCTCTGTGAGTTCTAGGCCAGCCTGGTCTACAGAGCTAGTTCCAGGACAGGCTCCAAAGCCACAGAGAAACCCTGTCTCAAAAAAAAAAAAAAAAAAAAAAAAAAAAAAAAAAAGCAAGTAGAATATGATCAATGGAGGAAGATGATCAATGTTACTTCTGACCTCCAGGCTTTTACACACACACACACACACACACACACACACATATACACACACACTCACACACACACACACACACACCAAGGTTACTATCCTAAAGGCCAGGTTAGGGGCTAGGGAATGAGGATCTGGTGCTTGCCAGGTCTTCTCAAGGGTGGTCAGGGCTAGAGTCTTAGAGCTTGGAATCTAGGGACCATGTCTAGGGCCTGGGACTAGAAGTAAGAATTTGAGATCTAAGGATCCTTGTAGTCCAGTCAGGGACCAACTTGGGAAGGCTTTGGGAGTATTGGATCTGAGGTTTTAAATTCTGGAGTCTTGATATTTTTTTTTAACTTCATGATATTGGAAATGAGACATAGGACTGGGGTATTTATTTATTTTGAGACAAGATCTCACATAGCCCAGACTGGCTTCAAACTCACTACACAGCTGAGGATGGCCTTGAACTTTCCACCCTTATGTTGCCATCTCCCAAATACTGGGGATCCAATCAGGTGCTGGCCATACTCAGGTTTTTTTTTTTTTTTTTTTTTTTTTTTTTTTTTTGTTATTCTGAGATGGTGTTCTGCTATGGAGCAATAGCTAGCCTGGAATCCACTAAGTAGACCAGGCTGACCTGAAACTTGTGACAGTCTCTACCTCTGACTCTTGAGTGCTGAGACCATAGGCAACTGCCACCATACTCAGCTAGGGTCTATACTTGAGGTTTTGGCACTGTAGAGTGAATCTCGAGGCCGGTTGAATCCGGATCTTGAATATTAGGGGCTCTGGGCTAGGTCCTTGAGATATGAGCATCTTGAGGCTGGGAGCTGGGGCTTCAGGGATCAAAGGTTTTAGACATCTTGAGGCCTAGGCCTCTAATTCTCAAGGGAAAACTTGGATCTGGGGGACTCAGGGCAGGTTTGTTGGGTCTCAGGTCCTGGGATTTAGAATCTAAACTTTCAGACAGGTTGTCAGGATTGGCGGGGTGGGGGGATTGTGGTCCATGGTATCATGGCGGGACACAAGATCATGGATTGTGATTGCTTGGAGCCTTGGGGGACAGTTAAGAGTTGCTCTGAAGGATTCTGGGGGTCTTGGGACCTCGAGGTCTCAAGGTTATGGGATCGTGTTTAATTTTCAGGGATCATATGGGTTTTCAAAGGCAGTCTGGGATCCCCAAGTGTTGAGAATCAAAGTCTCAGGGCACTGTTGTCTGGGGTCAAAGGTTTCAAAATGAACATAAAAGGTCTCGGAGTCAAAACGTACCAAGAGCTGTAGACGACGAAGTAGCCGATCCAGCCGGGCTTGCAGGGCACCCAACTCTGGTTCCAGAGTCTTTAGGGAAGAGCCACCTGCCCGGCGCAGCCACTGCACATGCCGGAGGTAGGACATCAAGTCTACTCGAAGCCTTGTCAGCACACCTGGAAGCTGAGGAGCAGGGATGCAAATCAGGGCGCAGCTGGCACAGTGTCCTTCAGTCCTCCCTACCAGCTGGCTCTAGCTCTCACCTGCAAGGCTCCCAGTGTCCCGGCGCTCATGGCCAAGGTCGGGAGGGAGTCCAGATTATGGTCTCCGTCGGCTGGGAATTTGTCTCTCTGGGGTGAGAAAGAAGCTGTGAGCAGGAGCCCAAGCTCTGCTGGTCTTCAGGTACCCAGGAGAGGGAAGGGACTGTCCTATACAGCCCCAGCCAGCCCGCCCCTGTCCCTCCAACTCTACCATGTGTGCTGCGAGTTGCCGAGTGTCTGCCAAAAGCGATCGGGTCAGGAGGACAGCGCTGTCCAGATCTGCACGAGGGTCTGAAGAGACTCGAGGGGAGCCAGACGGTGGCCCAGGGGCAACGGCTCTCTCTGGCCAGAGGCTCAGCACCACCAGGACCAGGTGACAAACACCTGGGGACAGGAGGAGGGAGAAATCAGGACGAACTCTGGGTCTGAGGAAGCTGGACTGGGGTCTAGATTCCTGCCTAAAGTACAGACCCCGGGTCTGAGTGGGGCAGGCTGGGGTCCCGAAGTTTGGTTTTGAGGTAGCAAGACTGAGGTCTGGAAGGATGGAGCCTGGATTCCCGGTCTGCCGGAGAAAGGCTGGGGCCCAGAACCCTCAGTCTAAATGGGGAGGCATGGGGCATGGACTGTAAGCTCTGAAAGATGAGGGCTGGAGCCTGGACTCCAGGTTCTTAGGGAGGACAGTTGAGGTTTGGACTCCCGAGTCTGAGGGAGGAGGGCTGGAGCCTGAACGCCTGGGTCTGAGGGAGGAGGACCTGGAGGTCTTGAGTCTCAGGGTGGGGCGCCCCGGGGCAGGTCGCAAAGCCCGAGCCCGGGCGGGCTTCCCTCTCCCTCCCTGGCTCTGGCTGCCCCGCCCGTCGGAGCAGACGCGGCCCGGGGCGGGTAGACGGGCCGGGCGTCTCCCGTCCGCCCCCGGACGCCGGAATCTGGGCCCCGGGGCGGGGCATGAAGGGGGGGGGGGAGGCACAGGCCAGGACCTGCCCCCTCCCCTGCCCAGGGAGCCTGAGCCGGCCTGGGAACAGGGGAAGGAGCCAGAGACTGGAGCTGACACCCGAACACACCGATTCCTCTCCAGGGAGGCGTCCCGGGCCCCCTACCATAAGCCCACGAAGGTGGCTGCGGGAGGCTGGGCCGCTGGGTCGGGGAGGACCGGGGCGCACCTGGCCTGCGAGGCGCTCGGGGACGCACGCAGCTGGAGACCCGGCTGGCAGCGTTCGGGGCTCAGGGGCTAGGGACAGCTCCTTTGCGGGCTGCCCATCCCCCAGCTGCTCCGCCCACCTCCGAGACAGCCAGCCAATCAGAGCCCCCCAGGCCTCCAAGCTCCGGTATCACACCCCCAGCCCGCCCCCTTGGTCCCCTCTGGCTGTAGCCCCTCCTCGGCCGTCTGTCGGTGCGTCCGTCCCCTTGCCGGTGCGCATCTGTCTGGCTCTTTAAGCTCTCTGTCCACACCCCTCTCTCGTCTGCCTCCCCTGCCTGGTCCCGTCCTCTGGGGCTTGCGGTCATCATCTGGGACTCTCTGCCTCAGTTTCCCTCCCTGAGCCTCGCTGTTGGAGTTTGTGGTTTTCTCTGTCCCTCGCTTCCCGCTGACTCCCCGGGACACCCGGACCCTTCGGGATCATCTCCCAGCATGTGTCCCTCTGTGTCTGTCTGTCCCTTCTTTTGCTTGCGTTTTATCTATGTCTCTGTGTCCGTCTCTCCTCTCAAACAAACTCCCACTTTTCTGACTGCTCTCCCTCTCTCTCCCCGTCTGACTCCCATGACGCCTGTCTTCGGCCCTCTTTGCCTACCCACCCTCGCCACCCCCTCGGTCCTTTCCTCCTCCCCCCCCACCCTGTCCCCTCACCCCATGAACTGGAACCAACTTACAGTTCATGTCCCCACAGGCCAGGGGTTCCCCAGGGCAGGGGGCAGGGAGCCGGGGGGCCTTTAACCCTTCCCTGTCCGCTGCCGGGGGATCCCAGGGGGTCAGCTGGGCCTCGGCCTGGGGAGGGGAGGTATGTGAGTGTGAGCTGCAAGGGCCAGGCAGTGAGGGAGTGTGTACGCCTGGGGGGTTATATAGGGGGCCGGGGCGGGCGGGCGGGGGGCAGGCAGCAGGGGAGGGCGGCCTGACACATCCTGACTCACCCTCCCTCCTGCCTTTTCCATTCAGACGAGCCGGCTGCCTAGCAAGGCTCACAGAGGAGGGCACGGAAGGAAAAGTTGGAAAAGTTGAAAAGTGAAGGGGGGGGGTGGTCTGAGAGGGGCCGGTGAGGTCATTGGCGTCCCCTCCCTCCACCTCCACGGGCTGGGACAGACACGCAGCTCGAAAGCTCCATGGAGCCAGGGCTGTGGATAGGGGTCTGGATGGACCTGCATGAGTACTTCTGGAGAGATGGGGAGGCAGGAGAGGCCAGTCGAGGGCCTGGGAAGATGGACAGCAGAGGGAGAATGTAAATGACAAAGAGGGATGAGAACCCTGGAACAGAGGTGCAGACTCCAAAACAGATGCACAGACAGGGGGACAGCAGGGTATAGAGATACCCAACCTCTGACGTGCAGAGACAGGGAAACTGAGGAGCTGAGGGGTGTGGCTCAGTTTGGCAGAGTGCTTGCCTAGTGTGCACAAAGGCCTTGGGGTTTTATCCCGGGCACACACCTGTGTGTGATGGCACACACCTGTGGTCTCAGCATTTGGGAGGTGGGGGCAGGAGGTTCAGGAGTTCAAGGTCATCATAGTGAGACTGAAGTGAGCCTAGGCTACATGAGACCTTTATTTATTTATTTATTGGTTTCTTTTTGAGACAGGGGTTCTCTGTGTAGCTTTGGGGCCTGTCCTGGAACTCGATCTGTAGACCAGGCTGGCCTCGAACTCACAGAGATCCTCCTGCCTCTGCCTCCCAAGTGCGGGGACTAAATGTCACCAATGCCCGGCAAGACCCTGTTTTTAAAAGGAACTAGGGATCCTGGGGGGGGGGGGAAGAGGGACGTGGGCCTGGAGAAAAGACGCTGCAGAAGACTGAACAGGGCCTGCGGAGAAGGCAAAGTGACCTGACCAAAGATGGGGTCGCCTGAGAGACAGAGGTTAGACCAGATGCTGAGGAGACAAGACGGGAAGGGCCAAAAGAAAGACACTGAGACCTCCACAGAAGTCTCTGGCTGCCACACCAGCACCACAACCCCACCCCACCCCCGCCTCAGTTCCGTTATCTGTAAATGGGGCTAGCAGGACTACGTTCTAGGGCTGAGGGGTCCCAGTGCTGAAGCGATCACTATGGCTGGACAAGTGGAGAGGGCAGGACCTGTGGGGCTCGCTGTCTTCCAGCCCCAGGTTCAGTGCGAGACCCTTTCTCAAGGGCATGAGGTTGACAGGGGTAGAGCAGGACCTCTGTACACTGCACACGGGTACGGTCTACACACGCCCACATACACACACATGCCTTCCTATCCCTAAACGCCACAGTGAGAGTCCTGCGCCAACGAGTATTACACGCACGGGTGGTCCCCGGGAAAGATGGCGAAAGTGAGCGAGCGGGTGCCAGAAACGGAGACAAAGCCACATCCAGAGAGGGGGGCATGATATTTATCCAGGTAAGAGCAGAACACACCAGACAGTGCTCGCACACCGTGTTCGATGGATGACTACCGTTGGCTCAGAATTCACAGCCCCTCAAGGGGTGGGGACAGAGAAATCAGCTCACACACATCTCCAGAAGCCTCCTCAGGAGAACGAGGTGGCTCTGAGCACGGGGACCCGGGTTGGGTACCTGTGGCCCTGGGTATGATGGGCCACCTCTGATATGGACTTCAAAAGCATCTCTCTGTAGACCACCCATAGAGAGATTGGCCTGGGGGGGTGGGGGCTGCTGGCTCTGGAACCGACTGGCAGCTAAAGGCTTCCCCTCCCTACCTTCCACCACTGGGGTGGGGGAAGGACTGCTCAGATCCCCCAGGAGGTGAGGTCACAGCCCCCCCATGGTGGGACATGACCTCATCAGCCTCAGGTAAGAGCTCTTTCTCTTTCATGGTCGGTCACACCACCCCTTTGAGGGGCCCCCCAGGGGCCCTCCTCAGCCCCTGCTCTTGCTGGGACCCAGGCTTCCGACCACTGGGTCTCCACCCCTCAGGGGGCCTGTTTCCGGCTGAGTCAGCGTGGGGGGCCTAAGGCTGCGTCAGTGAGGGGAGAGCTGACGTAGCCCCCCCAGACCATGGGGGCTAGCCAAGGTGACTCAGGCCACCAGCCTGGGGAATGGACTGGCCTGAGGGGATAGGGGACTGGGATTGGGGCCAGACATGGACCAATACCAGGGACTGCAAATGCCAGCCCCTTCCCCCAACTGGGATTGAAGAATTCACTCCATCTCACCTCCCTATCTGTCCCTGTTCCTCAAACCCAGGGTACAGACCACAGCCTTTTTCCTTCGGGCCCAGAGTCCCAGGTATTTAACCCCGAGAGGGTTAGTCTCGATACATGATACAGACCCCAGCCAGCCCTCCTCCCTCAGACCCAGGGTAGTAAACCCTAATTTTCATATGAGTGGAAGAAAATTCTGATGTTCAACAATTGGGGGACCTTTGTGTTTGAGGAAGTTTGCAGGTCTGGGTCATGGGCTGGCGCTAGTGTTTAGTCCTGCTTCACTCTTCACCCTGGGGGTTGTGGGGAAAGACTCATCTTCCCCAGGGTGACCACAAAAGGGCTGAAGAGTGGACTCGGGACTCCTGGACCTTCTTTTGGTGAGGGCAGGAATACCAGTTCTGTGGAAATAACAAGGCAGACAGGCAGGATTGGAGACTATGGGAATCCCCCCAAATGACGGAAGACAACGGACACAAACAAACAGGATCTCCAAGTCCTGTGTCAAGAGGACAGATGCAAGAAAAGATGCATGCTGGGGAGAGGAGGCAGAGAGCAGAAAACCTCCGAGTGTTTAGAGGCATCTGAGATGTCCCTAGGATGTGGGGGTCTAGCCAGGGGGGCCTTGATGGTGTGCTGGCCCCTGGGTGAGCTGGAGCTGGCTGGGTGTGATGTCAGCACATCCCAGGCTGTGTGTGTCCGTCTGTCTGTCCCTGGGGGGTCCTGTCTGGCCTCTGGGGGGGTGATGGGGCAGGTCAGCCACAGAGGCAGACCAAACCTGTCATTAGTGGTGAGGGCCTTGACGGTGTCCCCCCCCCCAATCCCAATCCGTGGTCCAGCGCCAGGCAGCCCCACCCCCCACCCCCTCCTTGATCCCTGAGGAATCCAGGGAATTGGGAAGTGGGTCCAGATGGTGTTGACACAGGAAACGGTCAGCAGCTGCCCGGCCTCAGCCCCACAACCCCTCTGACCCCCACCCCCATACCCCCTGCCGAGCCCCCTCGGACCTGTGTCATCTCTGACGGAGTCAGCCCAGGGCCCACTCAGCACCCTCTAGGATGTTTACTGGAGGGCCCCAGGATGAAAGGGATTCAGCCTTCTCTAAGGCTTCTTGGGAAACAGGGCTTGAACTCAGACCCCTCCCTCCCACAGGACGGACAACCTAGTCCCAGCCCTCTCCCCTCAGATCTGCAGTCCAGGAGGCCCCAGACTTTCCTTAGAATCATGGGTCCAGACCCCAACCCTCAGGCTTTGGGAGCCCCCCTTCTTGAAATCCCAGAGTCTAGGATTTAGCCTGGTCCCCTACTTAGACTCAGGGTTCATACCCAGGCTTCAGGAGTCCAGGACCTTTTTCCTCTCAGACTCAGGGGTTCCTATTCCCACTTCTCCCTCAGATAACGATGATAAGGGCTGAGTCCTCCTTTCCCACTTAGACCCAGGGGTCCAGACTTCAGCCATGTTTCTTCTCTTAGGTCCAGACTTCCCACAGCCAGTTCCCTTGCTTCCCTTAGATCCAAGGAAGGGTTCCATTCCCCAGACTCTCCACTCCCTTAGACCCAGGGATCCCAGCTCCCAGCCACCTTCCCTCCCTCCCTCCCCCCTCCCTTACTTCCCTTCCTTTCCCTCCCTCCCTCCCTCCCTCCCTCCCTCCCTCCCCCCCCCCAGATCCAGGGGTCCATGTTGCAGCCATACAAGTCCAGGGCAGATTCCAGACCTCTCTCAGGGACTGAAACCAAAGTCCCCTTCTCACTATAGTGAACTGAACTATGAACCATAGTGACATAGTCCCCCCCACCCCCCACCCCCAGCAGAGTCTGGCTTCCTGGATGCCTGGTTCCTCAGCAAGCTTGGGTAGACCAAACACAAAGGAAACTTGACATGCCCTGGTTTGTGTTCCCTCATTTACAGATGGGGAAACTGAGTCTCTTTGGGGACCTGGGACTTCTGGCACCAGTCACCATCACAGCCACTCAAGTGTCCACACCTTAATCTAAGGGCCAGGCACGATCACCCTGGTCCTGGCCTGTGTTCCCTACAGCAGAGGCCTGGCTCCCAGGGCCACCCCCACCAGCCCCTACTGTCCCTTCCTCCTTCTGATCTGGTCGCTGCGGAAACCCTTCTCTAACAATGGGACTCAATGAGACCTCAGTGTGCTAGGGCCATTTTTTCTTGGTTGCTAAAGGGAAGGACACCCTAGCAATGAGTTCTGAACTTGGCCCACTTGCGGCTGCCTCTCTGGACATTGGGGCAAGGAAAGAAAGGGATTCTGCAGCTTAAAGATCACCTCAGTTCCAGATCTGTACCCCATCAGGTACCCCATGGAAAAGGAGAGAAATCTCCAGCTCCAGGCTTGGTCCTGGTTTCTCTTTCCCTCTTCCCTTGCCGAGGAGGCTCGAAATCTGAAATCTCCCAATGCCCACCCACCTCTTCTCCACAGATGCTAAGGGAGCTACTTCCTAGACAGAAATGATGGGGCCAGGGCATCCCTCCTTGTGAACCCCTTGCTGAGGGGGCTCCCTGGCAACAGAACTGAGAATTCTGGGGCTGAGGCTTTGGGGCGGGGCCCAGTTGTTGCTAGGGTGATGTCCTTCAAGGTTTCTCTCCATAGAGGCCCCAGAGGTCTGGGGAGGTAACATGGTGGGGTCTGGGATCTCAGCTTTGGGCCTCCTCCTGCTCATGCAGGGCTCAGTAGGTGAGGGTACTGATAAGGACATTAGGGGGCTGTGGACAGGGCCACTTTGGCTGCCATACGATCTCCAACATTACCCCTTTCCTCCCACAGATGCGAATGGAATCCAGGGATTTTTCTATCCATGGAGTAAGCAGGAGACAAAATCCTGGGGCTCTGGGGAGGGGATCCCAAATTAAGACTGTAGGGTTTGAGGAAGGGTTGGGGTGTGGACCACTGGGTCTGAGGGAGGAGGACTAGGAATGTATAACCTCTGGGTCTTGGGGGGCAGTGCTACGGCCCTCAAATTCTGGGTCTTGAGGAAGGCAGAAGCCTGGAGTCTTGGGTCTGACTGAGGGAGGAGAGCTGAAGTCTGATTCCTGGGTCTGGAGGAAGGGCTAAGGCTTAGACCCCTGAGATCTGAAGGAAGAGGTCAGGAGACTCAACCCTGGGTATGTGGGGGGGCTAAGTCCTGAACCCCTAGGTCTGAGGGAGAAAGTCGAGGGAAGAGATGAAGAGCCTGAAAACTCTGATTATAAAGGAGGAGGGCTAGACCTTTGGTCCCTGTGTCTGAAGGGAGGTTTAGAGTCTGAGGTCTGAGTAAGGAGAGTTGGACCTTGACTCCCAGATTTGAGGGAGGAGGGCTGTGGTGTGGACCCTCTGAAGAAAGAGGGCTGGGGTCTGGAGGTCCAGGTCTGAGGGAGGAGGATGGGGCATGGGCCCTTAGTCTGAGGGTGGACTCTTGGCTCCTATATAGAATAGGGCCCAAAACACAGCAGTCCAGCCCCACAGCCTGGCTTTGGCCCCCTTGTGTCCGTAGCCTTCAGGGCCAGTTCTGATACTTAGTGCCTACTGTGGTGACCCTCAGGTTGTGAGGGAGATGTGTGGGACCGAGAGAGCTGTGGGGGTCAGGCGGCGATTGAGAATCCCAACCTCTGCCTGCGCCTGCGATGCTGCTACCGTGATGGTGTGTGCTACCATCAAAGGCCAGATGGTGAGTGGCCTGGCCCGAAGCTGGATGTTACAGAGGGTGAGGGTGCACAGCTGCAGGATCTCTGGACCTTCCTCCTCCCCCTTTTTCTAGAAAACATGCGCAGGAAGCACATGTGGGCACTGGGCTGGACCTGCGGCAGCCTGCTCTTCCTGATCGCCAGTATCTGCCTCTTCTGGTGAGTGTGGTGGGAGCGGCCAACAGGCATGCTTCCTCAAAGAAGGTGCAGGTGGCTCAGGCTGAACATGTGCTCGCTCTCCCCACCAGGTGGGCCAAGCGCCATGACATGCTGCACCTGCCACAATTTCTGCAGGGGAAATGCGACCTGTCACGAACAGTCTCCCTACTGTCTAAGGACCGACAATCGGTCAGCAAGAAGTCAACCTCGCCCCCCACACCTGTCTCAGTGCCCATAGACGCGGCAGAACCCTCCGGAGGAGGCACTGAACCAGAAGTTACAGAGGGCGGGGACGATACAGAGGGAGGAGATGATGATTAGGGGCAACCTTGTAGGTCCCCTCAATATAGATATGGCATATAATTGTGTGTCTTTTTTTTAGATCCGTGGGGAGCAGGTGGTTTTATGGGAACCTTGCACCATGTGTGCTTTGAGGAAGCTTAAGGGGATAAGGACTGAGTTGTTATGATGGGGAGGGTGTTGGTTTGTGGAAGAGGATGGGAGGTAGTTCTGCATAAGGGAGCTTATGGGGAGCTACAATGAAGTGAGCTTGCAATAGGGTGACTTGGGATGTTAGGGGCACACATATCCATGGAAATGTGTCCCAAGTTGTCCTGCTTCAGGGAGCATCACTGGCTAAGTCTCTTGCCCCACCCCTCTCCAGCACCAATGCCTTGAGTGGGTATAGAACAGTATGGGGCTTGGAGCTGGAGACAGGCTCAGTGGTTAAGAGCATTGACTGCACTTACAGAGGACCTGGGTTCAGTTCCCAGAAACCCACATGGCAGCTGACAACTATCTGTAACTCCAGTTCCAGGGGACCTGATACCCATGG